TGCAATATTGTTTTTCGAAAAACAAAAAATAATGATATATCAAAACGTATCTAATACATGTCAAATGATAGTATAATGTACATCTAAATCATTATATGTAAATAACTATTTGTTTTTTTTTTTATTTTTAAGAAATTTCTTAAAATGTTTTTATTTAAAAACATTATATATATATATACTATAATAGCTTAAGTTTGGAAGATTATTTTTTATATTATTTATGTATAATTGAAAAAAACAATGTAAGATATTATATATTGATAACAAAATAAAAATCTTAATTTATTACATGAAAATTAAATATTTATATTTTCTTTTTCATGCTTATATTCACCAACTCCGTCATTGATATTTATAACTCACTACGTTTAAAAAAAAAAACAAAGTTTTAAATAATAATCTAATTTAAGAAATTAAATTCATCACTTATTATGTTCTTTAAACTATTTGAAAGTTTTTTTAAAACTATATTTTAAGCATAACATTACTATTAGTCAATTACAGTTATTCAATTAAAAATATTATACAAAAAATTTATATATTTTTATATAATGTTGGGATAATACAATTTTGAATATTTAAAATCAACTGGGCCAAAAAAAGTAATTTGAAATGCAAGGAAATTATGGATTAGGATAGTTTAATTTGGGAGAATATCTTTGAATCTATGAGGAGAATCAACTCATATAAGTAGGTTTTTATTTTGGAAGTTGCAGACTTTTTATCAGTGAATAAGCATAACCCAAAGTTCGTTGTTACAGAAATCTCCTTAAAGATCATCAAATGTTTTTGGGACGTCAAAAGGAGACAAAATCACTCATGTCCCTATATCTCATTATTTAATCTTTCTAGGACACATTTTTTTTCTTTTAATTTTATATATCAAACAAAAAATCATAAAATTAATCTGGAAACGTGAATATTTTTAATTAATTTATAGAATTTGATAAAAAAGAATTTCAAAAATCCAAAAATATTTTTTTCCTATTTTCACGAAAATCATCAAAATATGATTAAAAACGATTTTAAAATATATTTTTTAAAAAATTTGAAAGGTATAGAACTTAATATTTTCCCAAGGGTTCACTAATCCATAGAGGGGGTTAGAGTTTAGTTTTGAACACCGGGGAGGATTTGATTTGGGAGTTTGGGTTTTGATCAAAAAAAGAATTATGAAATAGCGGTATAGGAGATCAAGTAAGTCCATAGGAGATTAGTGTTATCACCCTTGGGGGCATGAGGGACGTTTCCTCGGTCAAAAGTTGATGGTGGAACCATTGTTTTTTTTCTGAGATTCTCTCGAGTTTTTTTGATGAATGTGAAGTTGATATCAATGAAATAATTAATTTTATAAAAAATTGTTTGATGTAAAATTATACATCTTTTTTTTTGTTTAATATAGTATTTCATTTTTTATATTGTATATTAATTATTTATTTATTTTAACATTTTAATATAATTTTTATGTGGTTTTCAATTTTTAAAATTTTATATTTAATTATTATTTATTTTTTCTTATATTGTGTATTTCTGTTATGAGTACAAAGTAAGGTTAAAGAGAAACTACATGCATCGTGCATCATGCATCATTTTCGAGCTTCATCAGAAAAACAAAATATATGGGCCACCGTAACCTAACTAAGAATGATTTAGACTCCCCAACTCTTAAGTGATAGTTGGGTTTTGTTTTCTTTAGTTCAAAGTATTCACATTTATTTACTTTCATCAATTACTTAGAGCATCTCCAATGGTGTTACCCACCATTGGAGTCCTTAGCAATATAATATATATATATTTTTTGCTTTTTCAATAGTTAAGAATTTTACTCTAAAATGCATGTCCAGTGATGTTACCCAATATAGAATCCTAAAGAATTTCTACATGATTGAATAAAACAGAGAATGATATTGAAATCTTGAGCAAACTACATATGACAAGTAAAAGTAGTTTCGGGATTTACCTCAATAGCAGTAGTAGCACTGGCCAGTTGGAAAAGGTCAGCGTAGGAGATCCCAGAGTACATGTCTTTGATGTGCTGAATCAGGTTTAAAGCATTTACAAGACCTGAAAGCAACAAGAAGCATATCGTTTAACAGAGAAACAAAACTAGTAAGAGGAGGTCTACTGCCATAGTATATTACCAGCATTAGCAGCATGCTTGAGCTCAATCTCGTATCTGAGACTACCATTAGCTCCACCTCTCTGAGACCACTCTGAGATGTTCTTGTTGTAGGTGCCAGCATTATGCCATCCCAAACAGACCTATGATACAAAATGAATATAGAAATTATAAACTGTTCAAGAACAGATCAAACTGTTGCAGCTGGTTTCGCGAAGGATATGAATTCATCTCGGTAGCTAGCAACAGGTTTCTACATTGATTTTCAAGAGCATACATGATTAGCCAACACTCGTAATCAAAAAACTGAAACCAAATTATGAAGCAACACAATGATCCAGAAGCAAGACAACTATCAAATCGACATCCAACATCTCAACTAAATGCCTTGAGCATATCTATGATTTCAGTCACTCAGACCTAAGTTATACAAGACAGAAGTCACAGAACATATATGAATATCCCTAATTAAGCCGAACTAATAACTGATAACTTAAGCTCAACTCTACAAGCTTGATGCTAGAAAGCTATTAGTAAAACTCTACAGAACCCACATAATTAGAAGACATGGCAACACATATACGCACATCAAAAGCGTAAAAGAGAAACCCTTTTATCTTTCTTGAATTGTTTAAGTGAAATTTGGCAAACCCAGAAGAGATTACGAAAGAAGAAGCAAGACCCATTGGCGAAAAACCTTAACTAGCAATAGTCAACCATGAAAAATCAAAACTTGTGAGCTAGGGTTTCAAAGGAATCATACCTCGAATTTGAAACAGAGACAAATCCAAGTGCTCACCGATTTTCAAAACAATCCGCTCTAACGGAGGAGGAGGAGAAGCGGAGGAGACGAGAAGCGGAGATTTGAGAGCAAAGAGAGGAAGTCGCGAGCAACGACCCAGAACCTTCCACGTGGTTAAGGACTTGATCCTTACAATCCTTCCCTAAGGATTAATCCTTCCATCTCTCTTGGGATTTATTATTAAACAATGCCCATCGACCTATGTTATCCCGCTAAGGATCCATAAGGACCTTGCGTTGGACATGGTCTTACAAGTCTACGTAAAAAATGATTAACCCTTGGTCTGTAATTTTTTTTTTGTGGTTGGATTTCTGATAAATAAACACTATATTTAACATCGACTTGAGCCAATTTCTTCAACAAAATTAGTACCCAATGAATTTACAATTGTAATGAAGTAATGCCCAATGAGATGAATAGAGAACGAAAGATGAAGATGATAGAGGGGATGGGGGGGGGCGTAAATTCGGCGACAAGGTAGTTTTTTGAGTTTTTTTCCCTTTTGTGTGTTTTTAATTGGTAGTGTATTTAAATTTTGGTTTTTTGTTTTATTATTAATTTTTAATGTAGTCAATAAAAATATATGATAATGGCATTTTAGACTTTAAACAAAAGATTTAGGTTATTCTAGTAATCATTTTTCCTAGGGTATCAATTGACTTATTTTCTTTAAAAGTTGAGTCAATCTGGGTAAAATTCACTTAAAATCATTAGTTTAGAGGTTAAGAGCATCTCCATCAGTAAATTCATGGGGCTCGATTCCCCAAATTATTTATTTGATTTTTGATTTTTTTTTTTGTCTGACTTTTTGTTTCCAAAAAAAAACAATTAATAAAGTCACCAATTGTGTGATGCCACGTGTCGTGGGACCCACAAAACAGTGTTGAACTTGTTTCACGATGGAGAACTCACACGGCATGGTTTCATGCATGGGAGATTATAATAATATTTTTTTTGTGTTGAGATTTGTGTGAACTTTTGATTAAAACCTTCAATGGCCATGGCCTAAGCGACGAAATTGTGATGATCTTGCCAAAGAAATAACAATTCTTTTTTTTAATTACAGTCGCAAATATGTTGAAGAATATTAGTCATTATCAATTCTTTTTATAATTAGTCATTTTAATCAATTAAGAACTTTATCTTTTTTTATGTAATGGAAGAATTTGATTTTTGGCAGTGCATTAATCTAAGAATTATATATCATCCATCGATCACACCTAAGTGAAATCTAAACATCACGGAATCAAACTTAAACAACACTAAACTCTTTGAAATTGTTAAAAAAAAAAAAGTTAAATCAGAGAATCAAACCTCTTCCTTGTGAAACCCACTAAATTACTTCTCTTTTTATTTTTTTCTAAGATTTTTTGTTTTTTTTTTTATGGATTTGTTCTCAATTCAAGTTTCTGCATTTTGTTGTGGTTATATGGTTTTCATATGATCTTGGACTTGCAATTTTTGGCTTTGGCATAGAGTTTGTAGAAGTCATATGTCTAATTGTCCAGACAATCTACCCATCTTTTTTTATAACTTGTGTTCAAATTTTCCAAACAATATTTGAAAATAGAAAAACATGAATATCATAAGTTTTCTAAAATATTGATTGCTCCTAAACTAATCATATTTAATTTAGTTTTATGCTTTTCAATCAACGTTCAATATTTAACATCGACTTGAGCCAATTTCTTCAACGATATTAGTACTCAATGAATTTAGAATTGTAATGAAGTAATGCCCAATGAGAAGAATAGAGAACGAAAGATGAAGATGATCGAGGGGATGGGGTAATTCGGCGACAAGGTAGGTTTTTTGAGTTTTTTTTTCCTTTTTGTGTGTTTTTAATTGGTAGTGTATTTAAATTTTTGTTTTTTTTTTGTTTTATTATTAATTTTTAATGTAGCAATAAAAATATATGATCTAAATCAGAAACCTCTCTGGGGCAGACCAGCGGATCTTAGGCCCGCTTGACAACTCTACCGGGCTTAGGTTAATGGGCTCGAACCCATTGTTAAACAGAATCTATTGTGAGACCGTAATTTTTAAACAAAAAACAGTCGGGGTTGGTGGGATTGGTTTGAGGGTATCTATCGCATTCATTCATTGTCGATGAAGAAACGTAATTCTTACAAGAGACGAGGAGATGACTCCAAATCGTGGTCGGAGCTTCCTGAAGATCTGATAAAGTCAGTGTTGGAACGCCTTGACTTCCCTGACTCTCGACGAGCAGAAACCGTATGTTGGTCTTGGTACTCTGCTGCGAAGCGATGCGTGGCGAAGAAGCAGCAGATCCCTTGGCTGATTCTGTTGCCCGACGAAGACGACAGGATCAACAACCATTGGTGCAAGCTGTTCAACCCCGGGGAGAAGGACAAGCTTTACAAAATCCGAGACGAGGATGTTGAATTCGCAAACAGCTGTTGCTTAGCAACGTACGGTAATTGGCTCTTTATGGTCGATTATTGGTATAATCTCTACCTTTTGAATATATTTACCCATGAGAGGATTGATTTGCCTCCCGTGGAGTCGCAACTAGGAGCGACAAAGCTGGAGCGAACCTCAAAAAAAAGAGGAGGTTGGTTTTGTTTATCGAATGGTCATCTCAAAATGAAGTCCAAAGATATTAATATAGAATCACCTGTGTTTTGGATTGACCAACGCACCAAAGAATACCTAGTTTTGTGGGGATTTGGCAAATGGTGTGTAGCTTATTCCAAGAAGGGAGATACCTTCTGGAATCAGATTCAAATCCCCGTACAGTATGCTTGTTCTCACATGGTTTACAAAGATCAAAAGCTTTACTACCTCCTAAAAGACTACATTGGCAGTGATGGTTTCATCAAAATATTCGACTTCTCCTCCGAGATTCCGCGGGAGACCTTTCACTGTGGTCTTCCTCCAGGCGACATCTCTTCACTTGATCCAGCAGGAAACTCATGGAGGATTACCAATGAAAATCTTGTAGTCACAGTAACAGGGGATGTCCTCTACGTTGAAAACTGGGCAGCACGTTCCACTTCACTCTGGTCCTTCCGCGTCTACAAGGTTTATTCATCAGGTTTGTTTGAACAGGTTGATTCTTTGGGCAACGAGGCTATGCTTTTTGATCTAGGCATCACTGTGCTCGCTAATGATCACATTGTGGGTGGTGGTTTTAAGAGAAATTCCATCTACTACAAGACTGCTTGTCATGAAAAGAACTCTACTCAAATTTGTCTCTTCAATTTCGAGACTAAGGAGATGGAGCCGCTGCACAAGTTTGATTGTTCCTCCCTTAAACAACTCGCTAGATCTCTATGGTTCCTACCAAGCTTCTAGCTAAATCAGCTTTTGTTTGTTTAAACACTTTCTCCCTTAGTGGACTTGGAAGGTGTGGATCATTGTTCTTTAATGCTATAACATTCGCACAATCGCTTCCTTTTCGTAATGTTACATTGTGCTTTTAGTTGGTATCTTGTTCTTGGTTTCTTTGAGGTAATTTTGGTTACATCTTTTTATGCTTTAGTTTTAGTTTTCGATACAAGAACATACTGCACAAGAGATCATCAGTGACAGTACGTAATGTTCATGGCAAACAAACGAGTCGTAAAATGTGATGATCAATAGATATCAAATAGAACCAGGGCAGCCAATTTAGAAAGCCTTCTTAATCAAACCTCACAAACGTATTGATTAACAACACAAACTCTTTGAAATTCAACAAGAGATACACCAAAATCAAAGAAACTGATGAGATTAGAATCTTCGCTCACATCCCTCAGATTCTAATCTCTCTCTCTCTCTCTCTCTCATAAAGACTGATTTATTCCCACATTCAACATAACTTCCTCTCTACGCAACCACCTCTATTTATACTTCTCTCCACGTGCAATTCATTGTGTTACATGTTTAACAAATACCATCTCCTTCACACGTGCCTTGCACACTCTTAATTATCATCACCCAGTAGCACTTAATCTACTGCGATTATTGGGTAAATGTTGTTGATCAGTTCAACTGAAAATTCAACCATGGTGAAGTTTTCTTGAGAAAATCAGGAAATATAAGTTGTTGTGTCTATTTTGACTGCTTGCAAAACTTACAAATGCAGGGAGGGGGACAATACAATAAGCAACCGAATGATGAACCATGTCTTCAATGATCCATCCATGATATAATGGAATCAAATATAGCTAGCTCTGGTGTATGCTCAAAATAAGCCATGGGCATTAGGATGTTCGCATTTTTTCAGATTAGGATAATTTGGATATGAGAGATCACGATCTGTTTGAGTTTTACGACTATTCGGTTCGGTTTTAATTCGGATATGTGTTGAATTTGGATCGGTGTTTTGGAAAAAAGTTGAAATTTTTGATAAATATTATAGTATAGTTTTAACAAATATAATTTCAAATTTTCATTTGATTGGCTAAATATAGCATAACTCAGTAGGAAAAAGTATTTATTTCACTATTTTCTGCTAATAATGCTTTTCAGTCAAAGCCTTATTTTTCTTCTTCTTTTTTTACCTTTTTCTCTTATTTATTCTACATTAGGGTCGACCCAGGCTACGCCCGGGTTTTTCGTTGAAATTTTAATTATATATATTGTACGTTATTTTGATATAAATATTATAATCTATTAAAAATATAAGTAGTTGGAAAATTATATAATTATTTTTAATTATTTATTGTTTTTTGAATTTTAAAAATTTTAATATCCAAATTTTATATGTCATAGATTATCAGTATGTGTTTTGTGTATAATTATTGTGTATTGTGGCTCGTCTCGATTTTTGTTTCTTTATTTTTTGTGTATTATTATTTTATTTTCAATTTTTTTTGTAAAATATTTTCGTTATTTATTACTCATTGTTTACTGTTTGAATCTTTTTTTTTATAATTATTCTAAATTTGATCTTATTTATCTTGAAAAAAAATTAGTGTGTGAATCAGTTTTTTCTTAGGTTTGATAAAACATAAAGAAAAACAATATGATAATATATTTTTCGTTTTTCCAAACTTATAGACTTCTTTATTTATTTTGTATATGTTTAAGTATTCTGTCACTTTTACTTCACTATTAAATCTTTATTAAACTTTTCATTAAACACATGAAAAAAACTTTTCATTAAACGCAAGTTATATTACATAGCATAATTAAATTTTAATTAGTCTATTTTTATATCTTATCAATTCTTGGTTTTAAGATTATTTTCATTATGTATGAATTGTTAATTATTTTTATATCATTTTGTATTCTAGGTTAACCTTAAATTTGGTAGTAAAAAGGGAACCAAAAAACTGTGAGATTCAGTATTTTTATTTTCGTTGGTATAAATCTAATGAAATGTATAAAGATTAATAGCTTAAATTGATTTATCATATTTCTCATAAATTTTCTTTATTATAATTACAAATTTATTTGTTTTAATTATATTATATATCTTCACTAAATGATTATTTTATTATAATTATAACAATTTTATTTATTATAATTATAAATTTATTTGTTTTAATTATATTATATATTTTTACTAACTGATTATTTTTTAACAAAAAGATCAATTTCAATTTTTTTTTGTTTCATTTAAAATAAAATATTAATTAAAATGATTTAGAAGTTATTAAATTGTTTGACAGTTTTGGTGGCTGTATTTAGGGTTACTTCATGTTTTTTTGGGACATGTTATACTGATCAGTGTGATATAGTTGTGTATTTTTGCAAGTTCTATTCTCGAGTCTATGGTATCATATGCTAATTTTTCTCCAACTTATTTTTAAAAACAATCAATCAAGTATAAAGATATTAGATATTTACTCTCATTTACTTTTTATTACTATTTCAAAAGATTTAAACGCACACTCATCGTTGTACTAGATATTGTGAACGTAACAATATTTTCTCATTTTTCTTCTCTTTTCCATTTTATTTATTTTTATTCTATTTAATCAGAAAAAACTGTGAGATCTTAGCGGTCACTGAAGTGATGTTATGAAGTGAAAGATTATGAGACAGTATGGTGTTAAGCTAATGACATATTATTTCACTACAAGAAATAAGGGTTTTAATAGCACCCGTAAATCGCTATCATACGATACCATAGCGTTGTAGAAAGCGCTCCAATATCGCCCGCGATAATAGGTCAAGCACTTTAGATAGCGGTTTTTTGCGTTGCTATCTTATTGTCATATATTATAACGTTTTTCTGTATGCAATTAAAAAATCTCTGATAGCATTTATTTTTTGTTATTATTTATATTATTGAAAATTAAAAAAAAAGATATATATATATATATATATATATTTTCATTTAAAGAAATGTAATATATCAAAATTATAATTTATAAATTAGATTGAATTACAAATTACAACTAGTTTACATGGAAAAAAATAACCAAATAAACTAAACCTTAACCAAGCTTAACCCTAAACCTATTTGCTAACTAAACCTAATAACAAAACCATGCCGCTTTCAAGCT